AAGGTGCAAAACGAGAGTGAATCTTCCGCTAGAACATGGAAAGATACAAAGACATGATTTTTATCTTTTGTGCATTTCAAGAGTAGTGCAGCGAGGCCCTATGTCCTTGAAGTACTCATGGGCGTATGTATTCCCATCTTTAAACCACCAGTAGAAACGTTTATAGTTGGATGAATTTGGCGCTCCTGTAGTGGCCCGTACGTTTCCTAAAATCGCGTAGCGTTAAAGGGCACGACTTTAGGAAGTATTGGTGGTTTGAGTGGGGTACAGATGCAATTTTCGCCAAACAAACCCAAACTCATGGGTCTTCATGTGGTGTGGAACGAGGCCATTTTTGGCCGAACCCGAGAAAGGGCCTCGTTCCACTACTCTATACTCTCGAAATTTCGAGAGTAAGGCCTCGCTCCACTCACTCTAGATAGGTGCTCTCGAAAACGCCCTTCGAGAGTTGTCAGAAAGCACTCTCGAAGGGCACTCAGGCTCTCGAAGTATCTAGAGTGCCCAGCCTGCGACGACATGCTTTTCCAGTGTCCTCCCTCGTACCCCCGCTCCGACCATTTTTTTTCGAGAGTGCGCCTCGTGTTCCGACCATCAGAACAGGGCCGCGTTGTCTTTTAGTGCATTAAGAGAGCTCGTCTCATTCCGCCACTGCATCTGGAGCAAACCCATGTAGACTAAGGGCATACTCACACGGGGACCTATAATCCCAAAGTCCCCCCCAAAAGGGGAAAAGGCCGGTCACAAGGATCTACGAAATTCGCAAATGTACGATTCCAATGCCCATTTGTCAGCGGCCTGGGAAGCCGCGGGGCAAGGGATTTTGAGGTCACCTCTAGAGGTGACCGCAAATTTTTTTTTTTTCGCATTTTCTTCAAAAATTGACAAAAATTCGTTCACAAAAGTTCTTGCACAATTGGTGGATGGCGCCGTATCACCAGCCAAGTACTAAATCCCCATTTCTCCAGACGACCTCGACCTTGTCCCATATGAAAACGTACCGCAGTATGATGTGAACCATACCCAAAACCTCAAATCGGTCCTTCCCAAATCGAATATTTTGTGGATTTAGGGTCGCCTTGTAAGTATGCCCTAAGTGGAGTTTTTTTCGAGAGTTTTGCACATTTGACAACTCTAGAAGGACTCACGAAACTTTTCGTGAGTCGAGAGTAGTGGAGCGAGACCCGAAGTCCATGCGCGATGAGTGGAGATTATGGGTCTCGCCACACGACTCACCAAATGCACAAAAGACAAAATTATGCCTGTGTGGGGCTCGCTGCACTACTCTCGAGATGCGCAAAAGACAAAAATCATGGCCGTGCTAATCTTCTCTGTATTTTTTTATTTTTTTTTTAACCAACTTTGCATTTCATTAAACAGAAAGAAGAAGAAGAAGGAGGTCGGGAATCCCTCCACAAACAACCCGGAGAAAAGAGCTCCGGGACCATTACCCAGTTTTTTGTGCAGGCGTTGGGAATTAAAGTCCAGAAGCAGAAATGCCCGAATCCTGACCGTTGCTCTGACATTTCCCAACCCTGGGAAAAAAATAAAAACCACCAGCCGAATAAAGCAATGCCCTCACAGCCCACAAAGCCGACACAAACCAAGTGAAAACTCTATCTAGATCAAAACCAGAACCTCAACAATGTGACGAAAAAAAGAGCCACAGCTAGCGATTCTACCCTAAATTGGTCTAAACCCAACCAACTATCACCCTTAGGGATATCCTAATGTTCCTAAAATTGTTATCCTCTACGAGACTCAACTAAGATGTTGAGATAATGGAACAACACTCCTTCCACAACTATGCTTATATGCCTGTCTACTGCGACCTGTACTAACTGACCTAGAGCAACTGAGCATTACAGGTTGCAAACAAAGGAGAAACAAAAGAAACAAAATAACAAAATTGAACAACCAAGGTCAATTCACTAACTATTTATGAAACAGCCATTGACTGAAGACAGGTCGACTGTTTTTCACCTGCACGATGGAGTTCCGTAGTGCCCAGGTCTCCTGAAACCATTGGAGTTCATGACATGAAGGTGGGTTTCCCACCTTCCTTCGCAAGTCCGCCAAGATAGCACGTCGCAGATGAAGCACAAAGGAGCATCGAATCTGGCGATTGGTCCATTCTTTGTTGTCGAAGACTCTATCGTTTCGGCTTTGCCAGATCACTGCAAAGCCTGCTGCTCGAAAGTTTTGGGCCACATAACCCCAACCTTTGGATTTCGAGAAGCCTGAGGGAATTTCCGCCCAACAGGGACCACTTTTTAGTCCATGTAAAGGCTGAGTCCGAAACTCGCTTCCAATGTTTTATTAACCAATTCCAAATGCAGATGGAGGCTGGGCAGTCCCACCAGAGGTGGATAAAGGATTCAAAGGCCCATTCACAACGAATGCATTTCATATCAATTTTCATTCCCCTTTCTGCAAGCCAAACAACAGACTCGGATGGGGTGGCAGTCAGAGAGACCAACCACAATAGGGATGCGTGTCTTTGATTCGGTATGAGTTTCATATGTTCCCAACATGATACCAGGGCCGCGTCAATAGCTGCTGAGTCCAACATCAATAGTTGGGTCCAACGACCCCGAGCTACTATCCGTGGATGTTTTATAGGTTGATTGATGGTGTAGCCCAGATTGATTGTGTACTCAGACAGAATAGTGTTAGTACCCCTGTTACCTTGAACTGACCACTCCCATTGAGCAGGGTCAATCTTGAGTTGAAGCAACGGTATACCTTCTCCGAATAACTGGCATTTCACTGTACAGTCTGGTTGAGGTGACTCCAACACTCTGATCTGTTGGAGTACTGCTCCTACAGGAGGATCAACGGATTCCTCATCTAGCGTTACAACAGAAAAAATGTGCCAATTTTTTTGCCACGTTGGACCTATGTTTACACCACATTTCAACTGTTTATAAACTGCTGGCCGGGGGGGGGGGGGKGTATGTTCAACACAAAATGAAGGAAACCAACACTGGCCGTATATTGGGGACACTGAAACTTGTGTGTTCAACTGTTGGACCAACTGTTGAAAAACAGTTGGTCCAACTGTTGATCCATTGTTG